TGCTGGAGCAGAGACGCCATGCTCAACTCTTGCTACACTCTCCCAGGATGGACAGAGGCTAGAATCTTCCCGGTAAGCGCACCTTGGGGTGCTTACACACATTATTAGAAATGGGCTAGTCCAGGTGCGAGAATTAGCCTGTAAGGGCTAGAGTTCATGGGCCAAGCAGTTCTTTAAATGAATACAGTTTGTGTGTTGTTATTTCGGGCATGAGCTAGCCAAGCGGCCGGGGTGTTGGGGACGCAGCCCCGCCGCTCATTATTTCAACACCCCCCTTTGTTTTGAGGCATCTGAGCTGCAGCACTGAGATTGGCAGAAAGAGATAGCCATTTCAGGAAGGAGTAAGCTGGTGTCCCCAAGAGGACAGGAAGCTGGCATACTGCACAGTGGTGGCCGACGAACGTGGTTGTGCCTAGCTTGTGGGATGTCTCCTCTGCATAGTGTATTAGGGGGCTTGCAGCTGTAAGCACCAATCAGCTGTTTGCCTGGGGGCATCAGCTGCAGCCTGCACACTTGGACTGCCTGTGGTTTAAGTTAGTGCCACAGGTTCAGCTGCCAGGGAAGCTGGGTTTGTTTGCACCTATTATACAGCAAAACAGTTCCATTATATCTGTGTTATCTAATGCCATGGGAAGACAAGGGACGTGTGGGACAATAGTGGTCGTTTCTGTTTCTCTAATGGAAGAGTCTCTTGAGAGAAGGCCCCAGGGCAGCCGCCTTATACTTTGTGTCCTGCCTCTGCCTTCACCGTCCCCCCACATCCGTAGCACCCAGTATGGAAACCTACTGGGCCAGGCTAAAGACCCCTGAGGTCCTGGCCTCCCTGGGTACCAGCCTTTACTGCTCTCTGTGATTAAGCCATTCTGAAGGCCTGGCCAGAGCCATGGTATGACCCATGGGGGGTCAGAACACCCATGTCCTAGTGGGAGGTAGATTGTCCCCTCTCTCTGGGACCAGGGAAGAGTGCAAGGTGGTAGGGTGGACAGGCTTGGGTCAGGGGATCCCACCTCCTTCTGTGGTTCCCATTTCCTAATGTGCCCTAATCCTTTGGGCCACACAGCTGACCTCTATATATGTCCCTGTTCTTGGGTCAACACTGACTGCCCCTTTGTATTCTTACAGCCTGAAGATGGTGCTCATGTGGACAAGTGGTGACACCTTCAAGACAGCCTACTTCTTGCTCAACGGCGCACCTCTGCAGTTCTCAGTCTGTGGTCTACTACAGGTCATGGTGGACCTGGCTATCCTGGGGCAGGCCTATGCCTTTGCTCACCATCCCCAGAAGCCCGCCCCCCATGCAGTACACCCTGCTAGTGCCAAGGCTCTCTGAGGCATCTGAGGAAGACAAGGACATGCGACCAATCAGCCGTGGGTGCTGAGTGCCAACCTATGCTTCCGCATTAGGGAGGCTGGCCCTGCGCACTCCACAGATGAACAGGCCAGGTGTGGGCAGAGATATGAAGTTGAGTGCTTGTCCCAATAGCCTTCAGGTGGGAGACTCGGGGACAGTGGAGCTAGGGCTGGCTCTGGGGTGTTTTCAAGGTGATGGAAAAGGCAGGTGTCTTTCCCTACCTCCTTCAGACAAACACTGGCCTGACCCTGAAAGAGGTTCATGCAGCCGAGCAAGATGGCAGGCACAGCAACCCGCTGAGTCCCTTCTCTTAGCCAGTTTCCCTCAGCGAGTCTCGTCTCCTAGCAGGGCTTGTGGCGCGCTAGACAGTGTGCGGTCATAGCTGCTGGTGGCTTGTCTGTCCTCAAGCCCTGTTCTGCCCTTGTGTGCCACGGGTGCGTCTGCTGCACCCTGTGGAGATGGAAGTCACTGGCTTGACACTGGTCACTGTATTTTGCCCCTCTCTTTGCTCACCATGAGATCATGTATGCTTGGCAGCCCCGTGCTGACCTGGCTGGCTCCTGGGTCCAGAATGTTCTAGATGCTTCTGCATAACAGTTTCTTCTCTTCTGCTGGGCAGAAGGTCTTTTTGTGCACACAGTGATGCCATCCATCCACAGTCAGCACATTAGCTCTGATGGTCGTGGTGGCTCACCAGATGGCTGGAGAGGCCACACTGTGCATCTTCAAGCTTCCCTCAGATAGTCTAAGTGTGTGAGCAAGATTCTTGCTTACTCCCTGGCTTGTAAGATGTTTATTTAAAAAAAAAAATGAAGGGGGATGTCTGTAGTGGTAATTGCCTCCAAAGTAAATGCCATCAGTTGCAGGCCCAGCTGCTGAATGAACATGCTCCGTGTGGTGTCTCTTAAGTCAATAAATCGTATGTGGGTCTGGTAGGGAGGATGGAATCGCAGCAGACGCACAAGGCAGGAGGGGTGGGAGTTGTAGGGTAGTGGGTGGTGGTACCACCAATTTGTGTAGAAGGGTGACAGGCACTAATTTGGGGGGCGGGTGCTGGTACAGGATTGCACTGGGTTGAAGGACTCGTGGCCCTTAGGAACCTCAGTCCATGCATGACTGGGTGGATGAGGGCATCAGTCTGGCATTTAAGGATGTGGACTTGTGTCATGAAATGGACTCACATTGCCCTCCATGAAACTAGCTGAGGGTTCAGGTAACCCAGAGATGTACAGTCATGGCTGGGATTATGCTTTTCCAAGCTGTGGAAGTAGAAGGTTTGGGGGCCCACTCTGGACCAACAGTGAGGAAAGAGAAGCTCGGGAGTGAGGCACTGCCTGGGCTTGCTTCTGTTCTTTAGCCTGGTGGGGTGCCGGTAGACTTTGGGGTCATTGCCTGCATGGCGGAGGCTGCACCTCACCACAGCTCTGAACACACAAGCCCAGCTGGCTCTTGGGGTATGAGAAAGACCTGCTTTCTGCAGCCCCATCATTGCTGTGGTTGTGGTCACTGTAAGGATCGCAGGCACCGAGGATGCAGCCAGTGCATGGTGGTGTCTTGCCGAGTGTTTCCATATGGACTTCACCTACGTCCCAAGAGCACTGGTTGGAATCTGGGGAATACGTGTTCTCTGAAACCAAACAGGAAGCTGAGGCCACAGCATGTTCAGCCCTCTATCCTTCTGGGAAGTTTTTCAGGAGGTGGCGGAGTCTTTCTGGGTCTCTCTAGGCAGAGAAGCCCAGAGCAGGTGGTTTGCTAGCTCAAAGGAATGTGTCCGTCCCTGCCCACCATTCTCGACAGAGCTGGCTGTCACCCCATACCATATGGTAATTCAAGGTGGCTTCTGACGCCCCTGGTTGAGAGTCCTGTTGGCTACTGGCCAGAACGACAGTGGATCCCATGCTCATTCCTCATGGCTTCCCTGACTTCCAGGGGACCGCAACCTGAAGTTTCCTTTTGGGGTCTTCATGGAGGAAGTCAGTGTCTCTGTGTAGCCCAAGTCCATACTGTCCCTGGAGAAGAGACCCATCTTGAATGCCAGCCTGGTACAGGAGGTTCCCTTCTGGCTAGATCTCTGTCTACTGGTACCAAAATCCCTGTTGGGACCTAAGCAAGCCCAAAGCCATTGCTACAGGAAGGGCAGTTCACCTTGGAAGCCCCAGACCTGCCTCCAGTGTGTGTTCAAGGTCCACCCACGTTGCTACAGGTGCTAGGGAGGCAGGCCTGAGCCCAAGGTCCACTGGGTAGCTTCTAGCTCTACCCCCTCTTGGAGGAAGCTCTGGCCTTTCCACTCCCTGCATTTTCCCAGTTGCTTCAAAGGTGCCTTAAAAAAACTCTGTTAGCTTTGGCCTTGGTAGATGTGGGCCCGTTAGCAAGAAGAGACTCTGTTCTGTAGAGGGCTGCAATCACGGACTCGGCAAACCCCATGCTAGGCTCCAGGTTTCAGCCAGGCTTGGCCAGCCCCATCCTGAGCAGCTCTTTTCTCCATCTGAAAGCTGAGCATTCTTTTTGTCTCAAGGAGATTGTCCAAAGATTCCCGAGAAGCAGGAGAAGGTTGCCTTGTGTGGGTCACGGGCCTCCATCTCTTCCTTGGCCCTGGAGGGTTGCTACTGGCAAGACCAAGTTACCAGTTTGCTTCCCAGGCCTCTTATCACTCATATCCAGGGCCTTGACAGGTGAAGCCCATTTGTGTGCATGTCTGCTACCCCCTGCCACCCCTCCCCCACATCATAGGAAACCAACCCCCTTTTAGCTCTAGGAACCCCAGGCTCAGTGTGGATCCCACAGAACATAAATGATACCCGACTGAGAGGAACTCAGCTTTCTACTGTGAGGAAGGGCTAGCAACTTTTTATTTGGTTGCAGTAGATTCTTGCAAAGCCGGTGGTACAAGGGCCCCAAATGGACCTGTACTGAGCTCATATAGGGGCCTTGCTGGAAGCTACTTACTATGCAGTAGGCAGTGATGATGACCTGAAGACAGAGGATCTTCCCTCCTGATGGAGGAGGTCTATCTCAGGTATGGAGTGTGTGTGGTGCGGGTGGGGAATGTTGGTGAACATCTCATCCTCCTGCCTCCACTTCCCAGGTGTTGTGATTACAGGCAGGTGTGGGCTTGTTGGAAAGAGCGAAGCAAGTTCCATTTTCCTAGCCTCCACGGAGCAAAGAAAGGCCATGCTTCCTTGATCTATCAGTGTCCCAGCAAGAGCCTCCTAAGGGTGTCCTCACCATCTCCTCGAACTGCCCCTGTACCCCACTAGACCTGTCACCCGGGTTTTTGCTCTCACTTGAGGGAGACATTCCAATAGAAGAGAACATGCCCTGGAGACAGCCTTCCCACAGGCTAGCTGGGATGGCAGGGAAAGGGTTAAAAGGCCAGGCTGCAAACCCTGCAAACCGTGAGCAACCTGAAACCTGATTGGAATGGTGTGGAGGAACAGCGCTGAGTTCTCCTCTCTCTGCAAAAGAGCAGTTAGGCAGAACTGGGGGCTAAGTACCTCGTCAAACCTCTGCCCCATCACTTGGCAGGTGATGTGGACATGGGCTGTGTCGGGTGTCCTTTACATGGGATAGTGCCCACTGAGGGTCACATGGTAGATGTCACCCTCTGTTCTCTGGGGGGGGGGGCTGCCCTAGATTAGGGGTGGGGGGGTAGTTAGAGTGTCTGGTATTTGCTTCAGGCTTGGATTTTCTGGGACTCAATTATTTTTAATTAGCCATAGAAAATTTAAAACTGGAGGGAAAATAAAAAGCAGAGAAAGACCAGGCTGCTATATCCTCCAGGCTACGCGAAGCTCGGGGTTGCTTGGGGTGCCAGGCCGGCTGCAACGACATGCCAGACCAAGTTTGAGATTCCTGGGTCAGCAGACCCTTGGTGTCCTCCGAGGCTTTGGACCCCCCCTCCCTCCCAAGCTCTCAAGCAGAGCACTCGGTTCAGGGTCCCCTCCGGTTTGGTGAGCTCCCTGTTGTGCCTGCGCTCTCGGGGTCCTGCGAGTTGTCCTCGGTGGCGCTGGCCGAACGCGTGCTGTCGTCGCGTGTGCTGTCCTCACGCAGGACCGGCTCAGGGCTGGCCGCGCGCTGTTGCTGCTCCTTGAGCTCCGAGTAGGAGCGCGAGAAGGTGTGGAAGATGGAGGTGACCGGGAAGGCCATGAGTAGAATGCCGCTGAGGATGCTGCTCAGCGCCACCACCTGGCCGGGAAGGCTGCGCGGTACCATGTCTCCATAGCCCACGGTGGTCATGGAGATGACGGCCCACCAGTAGCTGGCCGGGACGCTGGAGAAGTCGCGGCGAGCGCCCAGCTCGCGCTCGGCCAGGTGCACGAGCGGCGCGAAGAGCGCCATGGCCACGCAGAGGAAGAGCAGCAGCAGTCCGAACTCGCGCGCGCAGCGGCGCACGGTGAGGCCCAGCGAGCGCAGTCCCAGCGAGTGCCGCGCCAGGCGCATCACGTAGAGCACGCGCAGCGCCCGCAGCAGCCGCAGCACCAGCCCCGCGCGCTCCAGCATCTTGCTGCCCGTGGGCCCTGCAGCCAGCCCCGCGAGCAGCGACACGTAGAAGGGCAGGATGGCCAGGATGTCGATGATGGCAAGCGGAGTCCGCAGGAAGGCGCACTTGCTTTCGGCCTGCAGAGAGCGCAGCAGGAACTCGAAGGAGAACCAGGCCACGCACACCGTCTCCAGCACGAACAGGTTGCGGCACTTCGAGGAGCACTCGCCCTGTGGAGGAGAGGGACACCCGGTTGGCAGACAGGTGGTGGCTACAAGGAAGTCAGTCAGGGATGCGGAATGTCACACAGACCCCGTGCCAGCGACATGTGGGAATGGGAAATACAGAATTTGACAGAAAAGCCCCCCCCCCCCCCCCCCCCCCCGCTCTTTTGAAGATTTAATTGACATCATTTCCGTACGTGGGGAATGAGCAGGGTGAGTCCGGGAAACTGGAAAGGTAGTTAAAACCTGGAACCACTGACCTCTGAGCACTTCTGATTTGATCGGTGAGATGTCTACAAATAGAGCTTTGGCATGAATAACCTAACGTTCCACTTTTGGACAAACGGGCCAAGGAGAGGAAAAGGAATCCCAGTGCACCCAAGAGGCGATAGAAATTAGAACGGGAGCACCAAAACGGGGCAGCGCTGAGAAGTCGGTTCCTGAAAAGATCGAAATCGACACATTTCATACCACTAGAACAGGAAATGCAGGCCGGGACACTGCTACTGCTACCAAGGAGGAAAAGGACAGAGGATACACTGTGAATAATGTGTCTGCGAGGTGGGTGATTTAGATTCAATGGGTGAATTCTAAAATGACAAGCAAAAACGAGTGTGCGAAGAAAAGAGGATCTGGACACACCTAGATAGAGCAAGCCTGGAGACGACAGACAGAGGCTGGTAGATTAATTTAGCAGTCTGCCCACACAGAAATCAGGGGTCCAGGCGCCTGTACACAGCGTTCAGCGTTCCAAGTGTTAAACACCAAGTCTTTACCATCCACGACAAGAGTGGAGGAAACACTGCTGAGTTCATTCTGTTGACCTTTCCACAAAACCCAGACACTGTGACCTTAAGAAAACTACAGAAACATAACTGTAAACAAGACCAGGCATGATGGTGCCCAGCTCTAACCTCCTCAACACTTGGGAAGAAGAAAGCAAGCAGGAGGATCAGGAGTTCAAGGCCATCCTCAACTATGCATCGATCTTGAAGGCCAGAGTCAGCTACACGAGACCATCTCAGAAACAAAAATGAGAACAACAATAAAAGGTTGAGCCGGGCGGTGGTGGCGCACGCCTTTAATCCCAGCACTCGGGAGGCAGAGGCAGGCAGATCTCTGTGAGTTCGAGACCAGCCTGGTCTACAGAGCTAGTCCCAGAACAGGCTCCAAAGCCACAGAGAAACCCTGTCTCGAAAAAAAAAAAAAAAAAAAAAACAATAAAAGGTTGAAGTGATAACAAACAGAACCCAGCAGTGGATAGAGGACTTAGAAACCATGATGGAAGGAGGGCCTTGGAGATGGCTCAGCAGGCAAATGCGTTTGCCACCAAGATTGATGACATGAATTTAATTCCTAAGACCCATATGGTGGAAGGAGAGAACCAGTTTCTGCAAGTGAATCTTCACCTGTGAGTCATGGCACACACATGCCACCCCCACCCCCCATAAATAGATACATGTAATAAGAAAAAAATACGATGGAGAAAGATTTTTTTGCTAAGGAAACAAGGTTGACTTAGCACCTGAAACTGGTTAATATAATTCGTAATAATAGGATCATTAAAAAGCAAGAGTAGACCCAGGTGATAGTGGCACACACCTCTAATCCCAGCACTCGGGAGGCAGAGGCAGGCAGATCTCTGTTCCAAGTCAGCCAGGGCAACACAGAGAAACCGTATCTCACCCCCCTCATTCCTTCCAAGTAAGACCAGATAATCAGGTCTGCCCTTGGTACTCCGAGCGAAGGAGTTCTGAAGATTCAAGCTAGGACAGTCAGACATAAAGAGGTAAAAATAAAAATAAATAAATTCAGTTTGGAAAGGAAGAAATAACATGACTTTGTGTATAGAAAAGCCCAAAGAATCCACTAAAATAAATGAACACAGTAAGGCTGAAACATTAATTCAGTAACATTGAAGGATATGAGATAATATACAAAAGTCAACTTTATCTATACAAACTTTCAACAAATAACCAGAAAATGAAATTTTTAAATCTTATTCACAATACCATGAAAGAAGGTATACACATAGCACACACACACTCACATACAGGCACAGACACACACTCTCATACACACATGCACACACACACACACATTTGGTGCCATGAGTTCTGAAGGACGGTCCACACAGTAAGAAAGAGTTTGCTGGTAACAGGTCAGTGAGAACATGGAGGAGCTGGAACTCATACACTGCCGATGGAGTACAGACTGGTCCAGTCACTCTGGAGAACATTCCGGCAGCTCCTCCGATGAGCAGTTACCATCAGACTCCACAGTTCCACGTGTGGGTCTCTGCTGGAGAAAGCATGTCCCCAGAGAACTCGTACAGGACTTTACACCAGGAGGCAAAATAACCCAAATGTGATTCTCTGGGCTGTGGAATGATCCTTTTGTACACTGTGAAGATTTTTCGCTGTGGTTGGTTTAATAAAGACACTGACCAATGGCTGGACAGGATAAAGTTAGGCAGGAGCCAAACAGAGTGATGGGAAGAAGGAAGGCCGAGTGGGACAGATGTCAGAGATGAAGAGAAGGCAGGACGTGTAGAAAATGAGGTAACAAGCCATGGCCACATGGCAAAGCATAGACAGAAATATGGGTCAATTTAAATAAGAGTTAGCTAGTAACAAGCCTGAACTATGGGTCGAGCATTTACAATTAAGTCTCTGCATCAGTTACTTGGGAGAGGCTTGTGGGACAGAACTTCTGCCTACATCTATGAATGAAGATAAAAGAAAATGTCTGTTCATATGATGACCTATTCTGAATCATAAACGGACACCATTGTAAGTGGACCCTGGAAATGTGCATGAGAGAAGCCAGGAACAAAAGACATACTCAATGGTTCATTTGTATTAAAAGTTCAAGTTAAGGAAGTCTACAGGAAAGTGGACTAGTGGCCACCAGGGGTTGGGGTTGAGGAGGCATGGTTAGGGGGACAAGGGGTTTGGGAGATAACGGGGTTTGGGGGACACAGGGTTTGGGGGACACAGGGCTTCATTTATGGTGATGGAACTACTTCTGAAAACCATGGACTAGAAGATACTTCAAATGTGTTAAATATACAGTATGTGAATTGTACCTCAATATTTTTACTAGAAATAGTCTCTAGGCAAACCTCAGTGTATGTGGCTAGCTGGGCTACAGAAAATAAGCAAATGGCTACAGGCAGAGGTTGGGTTGACATCTCACTGTTGGATACAACCTGGGCCTTAGAACTGCATTCATCAAACAGCCTAGAAGATGGTTATCTTGCCGGGAAATGGGGAAGACCTAGCTGGCCACACAGCCTCCAGGCTGCCACATTTTACCCATTCGTTTCTTACCCTACCACAGCTACCTCCAGCCCACAGGCCATCCTGGCTCAGAGCACTAGATTCTGTGCAATGGAATCTGTCACCAGGTCACCTCCACTATGGGGGAAATATCCACGGTGATGCTTGCCCCACGTAGGCTCTTGGTTTCAATCCCTACAAGCAGCCCCTGGGTCCGTGTGAGCATCCAGTGGACAGAGTGGTAAGGCCTGCAGCCTTCTGTCTCGAGTGGAACCTGCACTCAGAGGGGTCTGAGGCTTCAGTGGTCACCAGCAATGACTGACACCTGTGCACAGTGGGCCATGTGTGGGCGGGACACCCAGAGATGTGCAGGCCATCTTGTGCATGCAGGGTGGGACTCTGAACGATCACTAGTCTGAAAGGAATGCAGAGAGCCGGCATCCAAATTTCTCTGCTCAATTCTGCAAATCCTAGTTAGTCGCATGTAACTGGCCATCTGTGTCTAAAGGTACTGTGTGCAGAGTCCTTTGTCTTGTCCACTCCTGCAGTCATGGGCTGCTGGGACCCTCATCTTAACCTACAGATTAACCTGCATTGACCTGTATCCTGCTGTGTGACTGGAGAGGCCATCCCTGGGCTCTCATTCCTGCTAATGTGGAGAGCAGTGGAGGCTGCACTCAGGCTGGGGAAAGAGTTCCGGCTCTGGTCCACAGTCTTAGCCACTGCTGCCTGCTGCTGCCAAAGTCCCTACTTCGAGTCTAGCCTCAGCCTTGGTCAAGGAAACTCCGATACATATTTCAGAAAGGACAGTGGATGTTTACAGAGGTCTCCTGTCCATCTTTGTCTCAGTGTTCCCATCCCTGTGTTGCTTGGGTAGCTTTGACCAGGTCCCGCACATGGAATCTGAATTGGGCAGTTTGGCCTCACAGACATTACCCTAAGGGCATGGCTGCTGTCACAGAGTGGGAACAAAGAAACCCTGTGACCCACAAAACAGGGAGTACCAGGGCCCAGAACATACCCACTATTGGCCTGTATGGGAGGCTATGGGAGAAAGACCCAGATGCTGCCACCCAGGGATCCAGCGCAACCTCCCTGGCTAGAAGTTACCGGGTAGAGCCAAGGATGGTGGTATCTTCAAGGCCGAGGTTAGTGTAAGGGAGCAGTTTCTGGAACTTTCAACCCAGAAGGCAGAGCCTGATTCATCATGACATGACGTATCTGCCCTACTTGGCCAAAAGCAGGTCAGGAATACGGATACACTCATCCTCGATTGCCCCTGGAGAGCTTCCCCGTGAAATTTTATTTGACATCTGCAAGTACTTTTCCTCATTGGAGCTCTGATTGTTCTGCAAGCTGTAATGTCCCTGTGCAGTGTTAAGATGGGAAGGCCTGAGGGTTGGAAGGAGTCCCCACCACAGTCAAGAGTCCCTGGAGCAGCACACACGCAGTGTCCAGGAGGAGGCAGCATGGCCAGCTCTGTGACCAGCACTTGCCACACTCCAGACTACCCAGGAGCTGCAGCCGCATCCAGCTTCCATGAAGCAAATATAGCAATACAGGAAGTTCCAGATTCTAGATTCCTCTTTCTCTGGACTAACAGTGGCCACTAGGCTACAGTCCTACCTTTGATCTATCTCTAGAACCCTCCTCTTCCCTTCAAGGCTAGCTCCTTTCCGGGGAGACCAGGACAGAGCTCTGCACGAAGAAGCCGGGTCCTAGGTT